TGGCCAGCTGGAAAAATCCTAAATAGGAAGCAAACACTCACATATATGCAATACTAAGAAGGGAAGTAGGAGGTATTGGAATTTTATGCCAGATGTCTAATTAGTTTAAATAAAATGCTTAATTATCTTTTACTTCTCATTATGTATCTATGAGTTATGTTCACATTGTGAAAAATCTCATGTGGGAAAAGCATCCCACTGGAAGTTCTTATACATGCCAAACTTGTTTACAAAAATATTCACACAATTAGAACAGAGAAAGGCTTCATTAATGCAAGTATATTGAGAGATCAATAGCTGAAAAATAGTATTTTTGTTACTTCTTGTTAGAATGTGTAGCTGAAAGAAACATTTTACCAAGGATCCTGAAGAAAAATATTTTCTGTCCTTGAGTTTAGATTAAGATTCCTAAGATACTATAATAAATCAGTTAAATTACTAGTGGTCTCTGTGGCTTAAGGGCCATAGTTGCACATCTTAGCCAAAATTTGAATTTATCATTTCAACTTTATTCTTTTCACCCACACTATTAAAAGGAAAATTACCTATAGTGCAGCAACAGATATTCTGCTTGGTGTTTAAACCATGTCTTCCCTTTTTAAAAAGATTTATTTATTTTTATTTAGAAACTCAGATATACAGAGAGGAGGAGAGACAGAGAGGAAGATCTCTGTCCAATGGTTCACTCCCCAAGCGGCCGCAATGGCTGGAGCTGTGCCAATCCGAAGCCAGGAGCCTCTTCCGGGTCTCCCACGTGGGTGCAGGGTCCCAAGGCTTTGGGCCGTCCTCAACTGCTTTTATAGGCCACAGGCAGGGAGCTGGATGGGAAGCAGGCTGGGATTAGAACCAATGCCCATATGGGATCCTGGTGTGTTCAAGGCGAGGACCTTGTGCTGGGCAAACCATGTCTTTCAAATTCTAATTACTTGCTACTATTTAAACATTGGAGATTTAACCCAATCCCTCTTGCTCCCCCAAATTCTGACTCCAAATTTCTCTGCAAAGATCAAATGTAGCAATATTCATTTATAATTATGCTGGAGTTATCACGCTTGCTTCTGCCAGGTAAGACTGGCTTCCATGCTTCTTCTGAAATTAATTTTAATAACTTGTACCTTAGTACCTGGCCTACTCTTCCCAGACATGCCTTGTCATTTTTTCCTCTAGTTTTTTTTTTAAATTTGCAAACCCTGATATTCGTTAATTTTCCACAAACCGATCCTTTTGCTGTTCCTACAATATGTTGTGAAGTTTTGCATTTCTTCACAATAAGCTTTCTAGTTAAATGTTTCACCAATAAATTCTTCTCCAAAATAAATCAGATTAAATCGGGTATGAAGTTTTCAACCCTTTAATAACATGTTACGGGGCATCACTGTAGCAGAGAGGAAAGAAGCTCCCTGTGATGTTTCATATGGACAGAGGTTCATGGCCCAGCTACTCCTTCTAGAATCCAGCTCTCTGCTAATACTTGCAAAAAACAGCAGCAGATGACTCAAGTGCTTTGGCCGCTGCTTCAACGTGGGAAATCCACAAGGAGCTCCTGGCTCCTGGCTCCTGGCTTTTGCTTGGGTTGGCACAGATTTGTTTTCCTGAAAGCAATTCACCAAATCTTCCTCAAGCTGAAAACAACCTTAAAGAACATCTATTTCTAAGGTCTTTTCTGTTTTGTTTACCAAAATCCCAGGGAAGAACATAATGCAATTTTGCAATTTTTTTATAATTACATGCAAAATATTATTTATGTGTGGGAATATTTATGTATCATTCAGGAATTACCAATCAGTAAGAATCAGAGATCTTATTTTGAAAGTGATAACCCAGCCAAATTTGTGTCCTAATTATCTTTGTAGAAAATCTAAAGGAATTAGGGAATTAAAAGAAAACATTAAATAATATTAGATTTTTTGAGGCCTCCTCACAATTTTATTATAAAGTTTTTCAATTTTTTTCATTTAGTAATGACAAATAAAAAACAATGAGGCTGGTGTGCTGACACAGCAAGGCATGCTTGCAAGTGACAGAATCCCATATGGTTACTGTTCAGGTCCTGGTTGCTCCACTAATTCAGTCTGGGAAAGCAGTGGAGGATGGTTCAAGTCTTTGTGCCTCTATATCCATGGGGAAGCATCAAAAGAAGCTACCTCCCAGCTTCAGATCTGCTCAACTAATAGACAATGACTTCTTCTCACAGAAACACAAAATATGCTTAAAAATAATTGTGATGAGCATGTTTCACTGTTAGAATGACATGATTTTTAATTTCCAAGATTAACTCCAGTTAAAATGGCATTTGAATTTTTAAGGGGGAGAATGGTTTTCTGTTACTGATCTAAATGAATAAACAGTGCAGTCACCTGTGTTCTAGTTTTCAATAGTCCAGTAATTAAAATTCTGCAACACTGGTGTAACAAGACTGCCAATGGAAAAAAAAATGAAGGCAAGGGGGAGGCGTACATACACAATCATAAAGTCATAAATAAGCATATTTGAAAAGTCATACTTAATTAGTGGGAATCAATGAATTTTTTGATAAATGATACTGAAAAAACTAAGTAGTACTTAGAAATGTAATGAACTGAGTAATTAACGAATAATATTGGATTCAAGCCCCAAATCAGCCAGATAAGTTTCTTGACCACACTTTGAGTAGTAAGGTTTCAAAAATTCCTGAGATTTTTGGAAACTTTATACTCCTAGTTAGATATAGCCTGACCAGTGATAATTCAGTCTTCTGTATCATTTCACATTGATATATCCTTTTCCTAAATTTGAGCAGGTGTCACTTACTGAGCAGTGTCCAGGTGCTATCAGTGATGGTGATGGTGGCAGTCACCAGCTACATGGACAACTGTAAGACACCAGGTGCGATGACCACCCACAGGGTCAGTACTACACAGCCACCTCAGGGAAACTAAGGTGATTCATGAAAAGGTTACACACTGAGGTTGTTTTGACAAAACAAACCTGAACCTCTGAAGCAGGATTCAAATTCATATCTTTTGTACACACACACACACACATGCACACATACTAGTTCAGATGTAAGGAAATTTGCAACGTTGTCTTATATTTTTAGCTCGACACTTACTGACTTTGTCTTGCAGGCAATCTCTGCCCTCCTTCCCCCCAAGAGGTCATCCTGAAACCTTCTCACTCACAGTTAATGATAATACCCTGATGGCAGAAATCTACAGCCCCCTTTGACTGCTCTCCCCACGGATCCACATCAAGGTCTTTGTGGGAGTGACTTGCAGCTTACAATCTCCTGTTCATTGCATCCAACCACAACACTAGGACCAAGAGGACAGGTGAAAGGAGGGACAGTACAGAGGACACTCAGCTTGCCGATTCTCACTTGAAACACAGACATCTCTGTGTTTATGGGAAGAAAAAAAACACCACCAACTAGATCATACAACTGCAGTAAAATGTGGGAATGAAACAAACAAAAAAAAACTTTCCTCACATAATCAAATTTAAGAGCGTGGGAATAAGCTGAATTCCTCCATGTGGAGATTGCCTGACTAGACAAGTCTTTTGAATTATTATCTGTACGGGTCTGAGCCTAAAGGAAATTGGGTCAGGGTACAAAGTGAATGCTGCGACTTGCAGAACACCATTAGGACACTGCTGGATTCTGCAGTGAGGAAACCTTTGAGACGAGGTCACAGAGAGGAAGGGAACACCGAGAAAGAGAAAATATCTTAAAGCAATGAAAAATCAGGCTCTGGTCCTCCTCTGAGCACTTTGTCTCTCTCCCTCTCATCTGTGATATTTTGACATTCGCTCTGAAGTTTTGGTTTCCTGTTTCCTTCATGTATGAGAACTCCTATCCATAGGAAGGCACAGAGCGAAGGCTCTGACAAGGAAGATTTTGAGATGAACATTATCAGAACATATCAGTTGCTCTGTGCAACACAGGAATCACATGGAGATGTGTGGGGGGCCTTTTTAAGGATCTGCACAGGAGACAAACTCTTTTAAACTTGCTTTTTGGAAGATCTAGAGCTCCTTCCCCAGCAATGGCCTTGGAAGACTTTGTGCACGGCCTGTGGTGAAAGAGTGGCCCTTAAGAGAAACAGCACAAGAGGGTTCCCAGTTCTGTCCAGTGTGAAAAGTGGGGCACTTTTCTCTCTCGGGAGATTCCTGTGGCTTTCTAACCTTGCAGAGGTCTGAGCTTCTTTCAAAACATCCAGATTGATCTTTGGTGGACAAGATAAAGAGATGGGTTTTCTAATCGGTTAAGGCACCGATTCTTCTGTTTAAATGTCAGATTAAGACAAAAAATATTCCTTCATGGGGTACTCTGACAATTCTCTAACGGATTTGCCTGCAAGGAGAATGTGGGTATTTTAGGATAGAGGTGATGGTCTTGCAATTTTTCATTTTCTATAAATTTCCTGTGATTATCTTAAGTTTGAAAATACATTCATGTGCATAATGCTTCAGAGTCATTTATGCAGAATTATGCAACACTCGGACAATCTCAAACCTTCATTTTATAGGGTTATTAAATTTACAAATTATGTTGATATGTAGTCTACCCTTTGATCACAAATTTTCAATGTATGCTACATGTGTCATTACAACAGTTTTCTTTCTATTTGAAAAGAATGATGAAGTTTCTTCTCTATTAACTCACCACTTGTAATAAAAGTGATGACTTAAAGATACTGTAGATATGCTGTAGGTCATTTGAACCCTGATTTATTGTTACTAGTTCTGCATCATCGGGGTCAAGGGAAGATCACATATAACTTATCTACACACTGCTTCAGCACTGTTGCTCAGACTGAGTAGTTATTTCAGCTTTTATTTTAAGCTTCAGTCTTTGGAAATAACACAAGTTAACAATCAGATGGACTATATTTCTAGACTCCACTACTTTTCTCCAAAGTCCTAGGAAGTCTATTTTTTTTTCAACTTAGAAGTAGAAAATGCAACAGGAATGAGTAGGTGGAACAGGTGCACAGAGGTGCAACAGGGGGGAGCCTTACCAACTTCCCACTTGAGAAGGCTGTTGTCTTCCCGCTCCATTTTCCCAATGACATACCAGATACACGCCATCCAGTGTGCAAGCAGAGCAAACACAGACATGAGCAGAGTCAGGACGACCGTGCTGTGTTGGGAATAACGGTCCAGTTTCTGCAGGAGACGCAGAAGACGCAGCAACCGTACAGTCTTTAGGAGATGCACAAGAGACACCTAAGGCAGGAGAGAGCAGCACAGCTTGGCACACATGTTGAGTTCATGCCATGACATTTGTGTGAGCTTACATCCTTTGTGGAGATTCTTGAGTTAGGTGTAGCCGTGCCTTCAATATTATTATCATTTTTATGAATCTTTCTTTGTTTCTAATGGAATGTATCAAGATGACATATGGGATAAGGGATGAGATAAGTGAGGTCATTTGATTTCCTAGAGGCAAAACTTACTGATCTTACTTAAGATTTATCTTTTTCTATGCCTGTCTGGCTGCATGCAATTTTATATATTCTAATTCTTAATTGATGCACATTATGGTTCAAGATTGAAATCTGTCCTCACCCCCTTGCATATATTCCCTTTCAGTCATATCCACTTTTACATTTTCTTATGACATTATCATTGGACAGGTAAAACATTTATCTGAAGGTCACTCTGATAAACACATTCAGAAAAAAAGGAAAGAGGAACATTTTTGGAAAATCTACTTCCTATCTTTGATTGAACTAAGATAGCTTATGTTGCTTGTTACTAGGACTCAACTGAAAAATTCACTTGTCCACCACCATTATCAAGGTCATTATTAATGAGCGACGTATGTAACACACACACTTTCCAAATCCTCAAAGACCCAGAGAGCATTCCAAAACATATGGATATAGAGTTTGACAGATTCTTTGACCTTATCTAATTTCTTTGGGGGGAGCCTCGGAGGCTAAGGAAGAGATTAGCTTGCTGTCGCTAATTACAATGTTTCCCTGACAGAACATAACCATAAAGAAAGTCAGCACCTTTGGGGACTTTGCTTTTGTAATTACTCCAGCTCAGTTGACTGTCTATTTCTTCAGTGGCCAGTTCTTTTTCTCTTATTTCCAAAAAGAACATGCCTACAGACAGTGCTTGACACACAACAACTATTCAATTAATATTTGCAGGATGAAGGAGTGGATAAATGATTCAGAAGCATGGTAAACTGAGCTGAAACTAGAGATTCTGCAAAAGTGTACAGAGTTTTAATCTTGGAAACTATTCTGTATACAAATATAAAAAAACATCATAAGGACAAGCTAAGAGTTTGCAACCTTTACTTTGCTCTTTAGAGAAATTACTGGGAACTGAGTATTTCATAGGTAGATAAATTTGAAGAGGCAACAAGTGAAATGAAACCCGAAGCAGAAGTTCCAAGTGGAATAAGACATGTGAATATATTCAGTGATATGATCTGCCCTTCTCTGCCCGTCAGAGGATGTTTGTGGAAGACAGGAATGACCCTTAGAACAAAATTAATTTGCAAAGAGCATGATTTGGGATGTTCACAGTGAGAGAGAGAGCTGAGGATTTTGTTGGACTGTTTTTTTGTTTTGTTTGTTTTTGTTTTAAATGCTTGTTCCATAATAGCCAGCAGCTTTCTAAGAACTGTGAATTTGGGCTTTTGAAGGAGGCATATTTGATTTAAATAGAAATAAATGATCTGAGAAAAAAGAATTCTTTTTACTCCCTGGATATTGCTCTGAATTTACCGCCAATTAGAATGAAAAGCTAATCATGGAAAACAGAATTAATCAATGGTGTTTTCCCCTTTTACCAGGTCGACCTGACCACCTTTGAGAAGATGGTAAAGGGAGAAGGGATAAGCAGACATTGACTGAGGCCTTTATCATGTCAGTTTCTTAGCAAAGCATGTTATGTTACCTCCTAAAACCATTCAGAAACCCTGAGGAATGGACACCCATTTTAGGGCTGTTTTGATGTTAGCTTCATTAATATGCTAAGTGGTAAGACTGAGATACATATACTTCCTTATTCAGTTATACTTTCCGTAGCTGGAGGAGCACTTTCATCTCTTACACTATTGTTGACAGTGATATCCACGCAAGGTTTCAATTAAAGTGTGTGAACTGTATTTAAAACTATTTTCATGGGCAATTATTGGTAGAGCCAAAGCCAAATCATGTGTTAAGTACTTTTGGGGGCTATTTTAAAGTTTTGAATGTCATCAGTGCCTGCCCTAACAAAACACGATTTACAAGTGGAATACAAATACCTTTGGTTGTTTATTTGTTCTGTTTCTTTTATGTGACAGATAACTTTGCAGTTGACACATAACTTATCTGTTATTTGTTATAAATTTGGTTCTCCTTAGAAGAAATAGAATACTTCCAACAATTTTTCTATTCAAATAAAATGTTTCATCCTCACCAATGTGAATGAGGAAGATAAGAAATTTGTGAGCTAAATTTCATTTATTAATTGATAGAGATTTTCCATCTGCTGGTTCCCTCCTCACAATTGGGGAGGGGGTCAGGTTCTAGTAGGGAGCCAGTTGCTTGCTCAAGAGCTGCCATGTGGATGGCAGGAGCCCAGGAACGTGACGCATGATCTGTTATCTCCCTGGGGGAATAGCAGCAAGGAACCTCACTAGAAGCAGAGTCAGGATATGAACCCAGTCAGTCACTTGGATATGGGATATGGGCATCCCAAGTCGTAGTTTAAGCAGCGACATCACACTGCCAACACCACATGTGCAAATGTTTTAAATGATCATATGCCCAATCTTTTTCCTATTTCATTTATTATCATGAAAATAGTGTGATATTTCAATATGTCTGAAATCAGGGTAATTAATATTCCTATTTCCTTTTCCTTTCTTGGTGTTTGGAGACTTCAACATTGTCTCTTCCAGTTCTCCATAAAATATGTACATAATCATTGTGAATTCTAGTTGCCCTTTTAGGCTGTGGTACATTAAATTTTATTCCTTCTATCCAGCTGCTTTGGTACCCATTATCCAAATTCCTTCCAACCCTGCTTCATTCTTCAGACTCTGATAAACTGGAAATTATCTCCTAGAAAGAGAGAAGTCATGTGCGTGGTTGTCTTTCTGTGTCTAGGTTATTTCAGTTAACATAATGACTGCCAGTTCCATCTATTTTTCCATAAATAAAAAAAAATCCAGGTCTTTGAAAATAGGATAAAATATCAGTGATAAGATAGATTCCCTCTTTATTTTCTCTTTCTGGACAGATGTTGAACTATAACTAGCACTGGCATCCTTTGAAAGCATTTAAATGATAAAAAAAAGGTAGCAAGAATACAGGGAAAGCATATAAGTACTTAAAATCCATCAAACATAAGAATTGCTCTTCTTGAAAAAGCCTTTATCCAGGTTAATTTCAGGCAAAGAGGTTGATAATGGTATGCAAAAGCTATATGTGGAGTTCATTTTATGCGAGATGAACTTTTTAAAGATTCACACATTGAGGAAGAGCTGTGATGTATAGACTAAGCCTCTACCTGCAGTGTTGGCTTGCTAAGCACACTAGTTTAGATCTTGGCTGTTCCATTTCCAACCCACTTTCCCATTATGGTCTGGGAAAGTAACACAGCATGGCCCAAGTCCTTGAAAGTTCTTGGTTCCCTGCACCTCTGTAGAAAACCTAGAGGAAGCTCCTAGTTCCTGGCTTTGGATTGGCCCAGCTCTAGCTGTTATGGCCATTTGGGGAGTTAATCAAAGGATGGAAGACTTTTCTCTCTGCCTCTCCTTCTCTCTGTAAATCTGACTTCTGTGTATCTGACTTTGCAATAAAAATAAATAAATCTGTAAAAAAAATGAACATTTTTAAGACAAAAGTTATTAAATGATTTATTTATCTACTTAAAACAGAGCATGACAGGCGAAAGAGAGAAATCAAGAGAAAGCACATTGCTCAATTCATCTAGGAAGAATCCAAGATTCTGGAGTTCCGTGTGAAATATTTCCAGGGGCCCAGGGGCTTGTGCCACCCTCCACTGCTTGCTTGCCTTTTTTTTTTTTTTTTTATTGGAAAGTCAGATATACAGAAAGGAGGAGAGACAGATCTGGCCGATGATCTGAAGCTGGGGACCTCTTCTGGGTCTCCCAAGTGGGTACAGGGTCCCAAGGCTTTGGGCCGTCCTCGACTGCTTTCCCAGGCCACAGGCAGGGAGCTGGATGGGAAGTGGAGCTGCCGGGATTAGAACCGGTGCCCATATGGGATCCCGGGGCGTTCAAGGCGAGGACTTTAGCCAATAGGCCACGCCGCCGGGCCCGACCCTCCACTGCTTTCTAAGGCACATTAGGAAAGCTGGAAGCTAAACTGGCACCCAACGGGGTTTGCTGGCATGTTAGGTGGAAGCACAACCCACAGCAACATAACACCAGGCCCAGGAAATATACCTTCTAAAAGTCCCCATGTATATTACATGTTTTTTGTCTTATATGTTTATTTACAATGTTATTATATTACATATACTAATTTAAAATTTCACATTTATTAGTACCCAATAAAATATTTTATTGGTATTTAGTAGCAAAATACACAATTACTTTGAAAAAGCATTCACTTCTTATTTAACAATTTGCCTGGAGAATTTGGAAGTTTTTGTTTTTTTTAAATGTTTGTGAGTTACATGGTTTCAGATTTCTGTGTAATCTTGTAAAAGCCATCTTTTAAAGTCATTATATTTCATTACAGCACACTTATCTAGTCAAATTCAGTCTTCAAAAAGCACTTTGAAAAGCCTAGATAATTATTCACTGTAGCACTGTTTGATCTTGTGCACAAGGTTTGTCCGGGGAGTGTTTCACTTTGGCTGAGTTATACACCTCTTAAAGATGTTGACAATCTTAATCTTTCAACTAAAATAAAAAAAAGAGCACAAAGAAAATCACTATATAGACAATTAAGAAATGCATGTCTGTACTAAGAAGTCCAATTACATCTCTTTCATTTTGAAGTAGAAAATAGGTCTGTATCTGAAGCACTGATCTCTTTAATATTAAAAAACCGTACTCTACAAGTCCTGAAAAAGAACATGATTTCTAAGAGGGGCTGTTAACTGAAATGAAAGTTATTAAATCTGAACTGATGTAAATTTTTACATATTAATGATGTGTAGTAGAAACCTGTTTGAACGGCCCACTATGGCCTCTCTAAAAACCTACTTATAAGGAAATACCTTTTGGTTTTAAAAGCCTGAATTATGTGGCCCTACTTTCTGTCCTGTGAGGAGATAGGAGTTTTACCAGTTTACTGAAGAAGCAATCAACATAAATTCAAGAGAATTCTCAAGTTTTTGTTGTTTATTGTGTCTTTTAAGTTTCTGCCCAGTCAACATTTTTGCTAGGATCTCTAAATTTTGGTTTGGTTCTTTTAATTCCAACTTCCTTTCTTCTCTCCATCAGTCTTTAGTTGGTTTGGCCAAATGGAAAAAGTAATATTTACAAATACATCATAAAAGCAGAGAAAATCTGGCCCAGTGCAATGGCCTCAAGCTTCGGGATTCCATATGGACAGCAGTTTGTGCCCTGGCTGCTTCATTTCCAATCCAGCCTCTGCTTATAGCTTGGGAAAGCAGTGGGGGATGCCCCAAAGCCTTGGAACACTGCTACTGTGTGGGAGATTTATATGAAGCTCTGGCTCCTGGCTTTGGTTCGGCCCAGCTCTTGTCATTGGCCACTCAGTGAATCAGCAGATGGAAGATCTGTCTGTCTCCTCTTCTCTCTGTAGAATTCTGCCTTTCTGATGAAAACAAATAAGTAAATATATATATGTATTTATAAATAAATATTTTTATTTATTTATTTATGAAGGAAAAATCTTCAGACTTTCCATCAACCTCTTGAGGCAAATATCTGGCTAGGTTATACAAAATAATGCTTACATTTCTACAGAATGTTCCCTTATCAAAATATTCATATAGTGACTAGGCCTTTTTCTTGTTTTGTATGTACTGTTTCTGGATACTTCAATAAATGAAAATAAGAAAGGCAGAAACTCCAGCAACACTAATGCCCCTCTGATTTGGAGGCTGGGTGTGGCTTCTCCTCTTGTCTCTCCCCTTCCCCCAGATACAGGAAGGAAAAAAAAGAGAACATGGAAATAATGGTCTCACCCAACTTCCTGTAGCCTCTGACCGTTATTACTCAAATTGATTATGTAAAAACCATCAAAAAACAAGTAGATAAAAAAATGCCTCTCTGAAAAATAGGCACAAGAATAAAGCCAAGCATGCAAGTGAGATGGAAGTAGACTTACCACTGTGACGTTGAACGCATACAGGAGGTCAAAAGGCAGGGCAGCGATTAAATCAATGATGAACCAAGTTGTCACATAGTGGATGCAAATTGATCTTGCTTCAAAGATCACTTGGCCAGACTTGCTGACATAGGTTGTTCGGAAATTTAAAATAATATCTGCTTGAGGAAAAAGGATAGAAAAATAAAAGAACAAGAATAAGGTAAGAAAGATGAGAGGCGGAATGCAAGCAGGCAAGGGGGAAGGGAAGAACAACATTGCGTACAATTAGGCAGTCTAACATTTAGTCTACTTCAGGTTGGTAATATCCAGGCACTCAGAGATCTAGTTCAACACACAAAACAAATATTAAAGAGCAGAAAGTAATATTTCTGAGAATTTAATATGATCCAGACATAACATCATGTATTCATATAAGCAGTTATAGCAATGAAAATTACAGTTCTCACATTCTGAATGTTCACCACATCCACTCATTGTTCCATGATATTGACGCAGGTGATTTTCTTTAATTAGCCATATCTTCTGAAGTAGACAGATAGCACAAAGGTATTTCAAAAAAATACTTAACAACAACAAAATGACATTCAGGGCAGGCGTTGCAGCACAGTATGTTAAACTGCCACTGAAGTCAGCATCTCATTTTGGAATTTCAGGTCAAGGCCACTGTCCATAAGCACAAAGCCACACTCCCCAAAAAAGCTTGTATTAAGAATAATATTCTAAAATTATAGTAAATTCATTAAAAAGGTGTCATCACCTGAAAAGCTTACTGTCTCTAAGTACTTGTATATGCAGAAGCATTCTGTTGTATTGGTATTACGTGTAATAAGTAAGTAAGGAGAGCAATAAAGATTTAACCTAAGCCTTCTATGTGGTTTCTAAAATCTCTAGAACACTGATCACAGTGCATCCCACCAGAAGGAAGCAGAACATAATTGAATTCTCATGATTCAGCTGACAGTTAATTCCTTTACAGGATCCTCAGATTACCTTAATGTATTTAAGTTTCACAAAGGGATAACTTATGTACTTAATCTGTTTTCCAATTGTTAAGACTACTAAAGAATGAATGCTATGGTTGTCACCCACACTAAAAAGCAATGAGTCTAAATCATTTCTTTCTGCTTTGATTTCCTTGAGACCTGTGTAATTAGGAATAGTAAAATAATAAAAAAAAAATAGAACCCACAAGTTAAATTCGATATGGCATGAATTAGTAAATTTTTCTTCATTAGCATGCATACCAGATGGGAAATAATTTTGAAATCATATTGGCTTAGTTGCTAAAAAGCAAATTAAAATAGAATGATGTGTACACGAGCATATGCACTGCATACAAATAATTAATATCTTCATTTAGCTCTTTCTTTAAAAATTAATTAATGTGGTACAGCGTGGGTGGAGAGAGATTTAATTAAACAAGCTGCTGACCAGTATTCTAAAGATATTCTTCTATTCCTTGTGAGACAGTCCCTTGAACATAATATGATGTCACTGTAAATTAGAGCTCCAAGATGTGGGATAAATAAAAAGCTGATTAGTAAAAAGGTTTGAGAAAATAATAGTCTTAAGAATGATTGCAAGTGATTGCCAGTCTGAGTGAACAAAATTTTCTAATCAATCCTTGCACCAGACGTCAACCTTTGTCTTCCTTGCTTACCTAAAAGTGAAAGACATGGAAGAGCAAAAGCAATGCAGTCACTGAGAGAACGTGAGAATAAGCGCATTTAGAAAAGAGGGGTGGTTGATGACTGAATTGGCTTCTGTTTAACACCAGTGGTGCAGTGTGATGAAGGTGGACCCCTGAGTTCTGATGGTCCACAGTAACCTAGGAACAGATTAAGTGATTTGACTGTCCTCTATGTTACTGTCTCTACCAATGCAGGAATCCCATCATCTCATCTCTGATAAGGCCATGGTGTCACCCAGTGATTCCAGGAATCCTGAGTTCTCTGCTCTTTGTGAATGCCATATCATCTGAACACACCCATTATTAACTAGTTCTTACCTTCCTTCCAACAGTTGGCGTTCCTCTCCTTAACTCCTTTTCTTTGGTTGCAGTGTTGCACTTGGCAACAACATGGAATATACTGTCCTTTGCCACCCCAAATTCTTTTCCTTGCTATTATGATTCTTTTTCTCAGTGTCCTGATGATGTTATCTAGTTCATGGGTTTCAAAACAGAATCTCAAGGAGGAAAATAATATAAATTAAAAGAAAAAAAAAGCCCGTAAGAGGGAAAGGGTTTAGGTATTAGCAGTGTTCTCTTCCACCCACTTCTTTTTTCTTAGACTTTTATTCATTTAACTCCTAAGCTCTCCTATTAGTTTTTGTTTTCAAAAGGAAATGTCAGATTTTCCAAAGGAAAAGCATGCCACTTTACAATTCAGTGTACTTTTAAATATACAATTCCTTGAATTAAATATACTGTCCCATGCTACTCTTTCCCATGTGGGAGACATAAAAAATATACACTACTATTTAGCAGTGTTTTCATTGGTTACTCCACTATCTCATAAATACTTGAAATTGTCAGTCTTTGAAAGTTTTTTTAGTTGATATGAATTATAATTCTTCAAGTAATGTACTGAGAATTGCTTTTAGTAATGCAGTTCTACTAAATCGTTAGAATCATTTTTAAAAATGCTACAATCGTTTACTGAAGTGGACATTTGCTAACTTGAATTACTAATTGGTGCTGTTTTAAATATATTTTACTTCCAACTCACTGCTCATATTCTTATTAGAAGAATGAAAATCTAGCTTTTCCTTTCATCTTTTAACTTACTCAAGCATTGTGACATAACTGCTACTGGACTTTCTTCAGTGCAGAGCCCTTGGCACTCAGACAGGAGAGACCTCCCATGGAGATGTACTTCACAGTACATCTTCCTATTTTCATTTCCTGAAAATTCCGCAGTTGCATATCTGCTGATGGGCCAAAGGACAAATTTGACAGCCACAGTAGATTTCCATGAATGTTTCCCACTTGGCTATCTAATTATCTGTATTATATTGATATTGTTCATTGCTTTTATTTTATACATTTGTCATATCGAAAACCTCTGCATAGTGTCCACATAATGTATACATTAGCATGCATGAAGATTAACTATTTGTTTCCTATTACCTGTTTCAGTCAGGTAAAACTCCAAATTAGGTTGTGTACTTTGGAATTTTAGGGACATTTTTAATAGAAATCATAATTACACTTAATGTAAGTCTAGACTGAAGCATATTTTTCCTTGATTACAGAGTTGACAAGTTTAACATGTCCATCAGCTGTTTTGGGTCCAATAGGTGACTCATAATATCTGTATTTGACTTTGAGATTGGCATAAATTTAAAGGGAATGCTATCATTTCACATTCTTTCATGCATTGGATGACACTTTGGGCTGCTCCATCTCTTTTCCAATTCTTTGTAACATTTAGTTATTATTTTCTAAGAAGCAATGTTCCTTTCCCTTGTGTTCAAAGACATTAAACCCAAACTACCTGCACGCTTAGGTATATATCTTCTTTTTATGAATTGATTCAGGATGTTTAATGAAAATCTCCACTATGATTAAAGTCCTTCACAATGAAATCTTCTAGGAGTTTAATTTTGTAACTGTCCCACTTTGTCTACAGATCATCTACAAATGATTTTGTGCATAATGTGGATTGGGTCAAGATCTACATTATGCAGATGGAAATTCAATTGATCCTACACCTTTTGTGAAAACAACAATTCCTTAAAGCACTGCAATCCCATTTTTATCATAACCTAAGTAATCACAAACCCAAAAATCTGTTTGCGGTCTCTATTATTTGGTCCAATTGCGCATCTGTCAAGTACCAGTTTTTTCCCAGCAAAGTAAGAAACAGGTATGGTTTAAGTTATTTCTGAGAAGAATCAAGATTAAAATATGACTAGTACACTAAAAAGGATGCCGAAGAAAACACTCAGAATTTGAAATAAAGAAATCATACTCGGTAAAGAGAGAAGCAATCTCTCCCATCCATGGCTGTGTGGTTATTTTTATGAATGTGGTCAGTAGAAAATGATCATATTTTTGTGTTATGACTGGAAGTGCATTTCTACCTGTGGCTTCTATAATTAAATCTATTTTTAGTTATTGTAAGCAGTAAATTTTTAAAAATCAATAACATCAAATCACACACCTCTGATTTCAGTAATGTTAAGGGTGGGATGAAGTAGCAAAGCTAGAGTTGGGACACAAATTGCTTCTTTGCTCAAACCATGCAGCAAGCCATGTCTCTGAAACCAAAAAAGCAAACGGAGATGCAAAATAGCATCCATGCTTTTTAAATTCTCCTGTACAGCTGTTTGAATATAGAGTATCCTAATTACATATTCAGGTCAACATCTTAAGCATTTAAGGTGTGCTCTTCTGTGTCATATCTTGCCCCTTAAACTCTTTGAGGTGAATGATGGGGAAAATGCTATTTAAAAATCCTTCTATTAGCTTTTTAAGAGGGATTTTGAGCCAACTCTGTACAAGTGCCTGAAAAAGTCTCCTGGTCTTTCAGTGATCAGTGTGTTACTGTCCTTGGTAGCCATGAGATGTAGAATCCCGAGGTACAGTTTAGGTTCCAAGATTAGCTGTAGTATTCAGCAGGTATCGCAGAGGGCTATTATCTGAAAATAACATTTTAAAACCTACTGAAAAAGATCTGGGTTTGGAATATATTACCCCAAGACGTGAGTATTGGTGTGTTGGGTGTGTTGAGCATTCAGATAACAGATCTGTAGCCCCATATTCATTTTCTGAGCTTTCATTTTCTGAGTGGCTTGTGTTAGTATAATTCTATTAGCTCTAATTCCTAGATTCTGATGAGATCAATTTGCATGCACGTCTTTCAATTGAAGAGATATTAGATATTAAATCCATTGCACTTTGAGGTTACTCCAATATCCTTAGTATCGTTATCTTTGTTTTTACCTTCTGATTTCCCATCTTTTTGTTTTCTCCTTTCCTATATTTTTAGATTAACAGTACCTCACATTTCACACTTTTGATTATTTAAAAATTAGTCACGTTAATATTTTGCTTTTTTCATTTTCCATATAGTTAGTTCTCTTAAAATGTTAATATACAAAACTGATAATAAGGGTTCTAAAAATTTGTCAACATACTTTTATCAATTTTCATTCTCTCTATAGCCACTCATTTCCTCTGGATTCAGTGTTCTTCCTACTAAATTTGTACTAAGATCATTTGTTTTGTGAGAATGTCCTCCATTGGTCCCATTTTCTGAAGGACAGTGAACTAAGAGAAAAGAAATGAAGATAATAAAAATAACAAATAGAAGAAAGGAAGAGAAGTGAAGATGCAACAGGAAAGGAAACAAGCAAAATATTTTATAATATTCTTCTTTAACTTAAAACTTTGTAATTATGGAAAAATCTGATTCAAATATTATCCTTATGAAATCTGTTTTTCTTATATAAGTTTGGAAGATCTTATTTTTCCTTCTCTAGAGTTTTCAGTGTTACTATAACTTAGGTTTGGATACATTTTTACTTCTCTCATTCAGAAGCCAAAGTTCCTTTCACTGTGGAACTTCTCGGACCTTTTCCTTTTGGTTGTTTCCTCCCTGGGCATTCCTGCCCCACTCCTTCGGAAGCTCTAGCAGGTCACCAGGGATGAGGACTGTCCATGTGGAACAAAGTACAGTCTCTCTTTCCACTGAGCTCTTAAGAAAACCAAGCCAATCACAGCAATGACTCTCTGGCATAATCTGTGTGACATTTTTTTTTTTTAATTAGGACAGCTGATATTGATATGAGCAAAAGTTTTTTCTAGATAGGCTTATAGTGGAATGACAGGATAGAAAAAGGCTACGCTATTTCCTTTCAAAAGGATGTAGCCCGGACTCTCTATTTGCCCAAGGTAGAGGTTACAGATGATGACGGTGCGACTCAGGGCTGATCTTCTAGAATTTATTTTTAGAATGAATAGCTATTAGAATAGATACCAAATGAATAGCAGGGGCATTATCTATCAGCAAATCAGGCTCCAGAGGTGGAATATGCTGTCCTCCTCCTCCTTTGACATAACTCCTAATCATTGCACAATGGCTAACATAGCATAAAACATACCACTCAGTCACCTATGGAGAGGAGAGAGTGCGCCTGTGGAGATTTAGTTTCCACTGAACATTTCATTACTGATTTCAGGCAATGATTGATTTCCAAGAAGGCCTCTGGATTTGACCTGCCCAGCTCCGGCTGCTTTTGCCATCTGGGAAGTGAATCAATGGGCAGACCATCCTGTTTCTCCCTCTCTATCTTTGTAACTCTTTACCTTTTAAATAAAGCAGTTAAATCTTTTAAAAATGTTACTTTAAGCTGCTTTTTTTTTTTTTTACAAATACGTTAAATAAAATGTAGATGTACTTACACTCCTGTAAAAGTAGAAATAGCAGACATAGACCACAGGAAATTGCAAGAAGCAGATTCCAGGCAGGAGTCGCCCTAAAATTATTGGAATCTGAAATTCTAAAGTAGTTTTAATAGAAACCAAGATGCATGAAGACAGTAATGGGTTTCCATTTCTTTGTTATGTCATGAGTCCTGGATATTTTTTGCCTATTGGGTGAATCATCTTACTGCTTGAAATAATAGAAATGGCAGTAAGAAAAAAGAGAAAAAAAAAACCCACAGAAGTGAGGGGCAATATTTATGAGTAAACTGTCTCCACTTCTTTAATAGAGTTAAATATCCTTAGCAGAAACATGGGAAACTTATAAAATATTGCTGCTGTAGCTGAGATTTCTCATGGGGTTAAGGAAGTAACCTGTCCATAAACATTGAGTAACAGAATTGGTGAACATTTCAAATACCTACTTATTAGCAAGAATGAAAAATAAATTTCCTGATACAATCTTCTCCTAATAACAGAATTGTAAATAAAATAATATCAAGAAATGTTTTTAAACAAATGTTTACATCTAATTTTTCATCAAGCCCTATGAAATTTTAGTATACATGTTGAGCGGCTGTCAAAGTTCTTGAGAACTTTGATCAGGTCACAGAAACTTTATAGACGTCAATAGACAGGCATCATGAATGAGTGGGAGGAGCCAGCAGAGATTTTTACAAAGTAACAGGATATAAACAATAATAAATTGGCATCTAGAGATGCCCAATTTGTCTATGGGTTGCATTTTATTGTCCACGCTGGCAAACTCCTAATTGCTACTTAACTGTGGCTTAACAGATGCCTTCATGGGTACATATCTTTTTCTAATAAAGGATATGTATAGTTTGAAAATACTAAAGGTGAGTTTCCTTGGATTTGTAGGCTCACCAAGACACCTAACTTGACAACATTGCCATCTAGTGGCCTAGGCATACTATGGTCAAGAGTTTGGGGGTAGAAGCAGGGGTCCTGAGGAGGTGCTCAGGGATCTGACGTGATGTCAAAGCCACACTAGGTACATTCAAATGAATACGGAGCTGACATGTGCTGACCTCAGCTGGAGAACTCACTGTGGCCCCCAAGTTTTAACAGAGGAACAAACAAAACAACAAAACTATCACCGCCACCGAAACAGGGTTGAATCAGTTTCACTTACTTATTTTCTTTCCTTTGAAGCTCAATTTTTTTAATTCAAGCTATTTGCTTGAAAATATTTTTTTCAGAGGTTCTATCATCTTCCCAAGAAGGAAATTAATCTATATCACCACATTCAGGTCAAGAAGAAAGTATTGGTTGCTAATGATGGTCAAGAAGTGACAAAAGTTGAAATCTAAGCCCGGAGTTCACGCTAGATCAGCAGGTAGGAGTTAGCCTTTGGTCCGAACAAGACCAAGATTTAAGGGCTAGGGAAATGGAAGAAGTAAACTTAAAAACACCAACAAAAGTTCCCCATATCCTAGACATAAATACACTTAAGAAGCATCTCTTGAGGTTTGTTGTTTAATTAAAATCTGATATTCACTGCTTTGCCTGATTGATTGGAACCCTTGTTTCTACAACCTGCCAAAATCACCATCAATGTACTAATAGGGCATGGAAGGCCAGAACTTTAACCATGCACAGAACTGGCCACTATCAGTGCCAAGCCCCATTTCTGACCCTACATAATTAAGATCCTGAAGGATCTGAGAATACAAACAAAAGAGTTGTTAAATCTGTTTAGCTCTTCTTTTTCACCACATGTATTTAGAAACAGGTAAAGAAGTTTAGTTCTGTTTGAATGCAGCACAGTGAATAAGATGGGAGCTGCGATTTCCAAAAACCCAAACATGAAATTCTCCAAAATTTACATCCGCAGCTGAGATATGCCCATGCACACAGATCATCATTCGAATTCCTGTCGGAAAAATCTGGAATGCTGACTTCCTCTAGGCAATGTTCCAAGGGAAAGGACCAGCTGTTCTTACCTATAATGAAAAGAATCTCCACCGCGATGTCACTGACCGTGGTGCTTCGGGTCGTGGACAGCTCATCGTTACCAATAAAGCACACGTTGTAAGGTACAGTCACGGCAACATAAAACGTTGCCAACAAAATCAGCCAGTCCCAGCCAGCTTTAAAAGTGCTAAAATGCAAAAGTATGAATTTGGACTTCTTTGCATCAGAAACTTTGTACTCCGGAAATGCGGTTTTGTCTACGAAAACGTTCTGTGGGTAAAAACAAAGGAGAGAAATGAGAAACCCAACATTAGAAACAGGATTCACTCAGCCCAGGACACACCTCAGTGAGGTAGACCACTTCCTGTCTACAATGTCCATGGCTTTTATGATTATTACAAGTGGACACATATATAACCATGAACCTTATAGGTACGCCTATGTCCATGTGAGTGCCACATGTGTGTGACAAGGATCCCAAAAATCTAGGATGGAGGTGAAAAATCCCTACCACCCAATGACGTTGCAGCCCTCACGAGCAATAGTGCATGTATCACACTCGTGTCTGTAGTGATGCTCATGTAAACAAATCAGCCGCATTTCCAAACATATAAAAGTACAGGCCCCCATATCTGTACACTATATGTTACCGAGAATAGCAGATTACCATGCTGTGTATTTACTATGCTGTACTTACTGTCATCGTGGTACTGTGCAGTTCTGCTTTTGGGAATCTAAAGTAAGACAGCCACTATGAGAGACAGTGTTAGCACTCCTTAGAAACCTGAAAATAGACCCGTGATGTGAAATAGCCAGCCTACTTCTGGGACTACACCGAAAGGAAATGGAATCAGCATGTGAAAGTTATCTGTACTTCCCATGTTGATAGATCAGTTCCCAACAGCTAGGATATGAAATCGACCCCAAAATCCTTCAGCTGATTACACACACTCACAGATTTTAATAGAATATCACTCAGTCATTAAAAATGAAATCAGGACTTTTCAATAAAATGGATGCAACTAAAGGCTATTAAGCTTAGTGAAATAAGCCAGATGTAAAAAGACAGATACATGCTTTCTCTGATTTATAGCAGTTAATAGAGAATATTTTCTTGGAATTTAAAGAGAAGCTTATTTTGGTTAAAAATATTAAAACTCATGCACAGATTTTTGTAATGCACATTTTTATGAACATCCTTTTTGTGAATACTTTTTAACTTTAAAATTATTGTAGTTGATGCTTACATATTCAGATGAGCAAAAGTGAAATCTTGTCACTTGATTTTTGCTTATAAATCTTTCCGTGGTGTCTAAATTTACTTGTAGAACCCTTCATTTATAACAGAATTAGCCTTTTATTAAAAGGGAAATTTAAAGTAGGTTATCAAATAAAATTAAAAGAGGAAGGGAAGTGAGGAAAATTAAAAATGTTATCAAATTTTGTGTACATACATATTGCTGTGTGCATTCTTAAAGTCCTACAACGTTATCTATGAAATATACTAAATGTGGTCCCCTATATATCAATAAACGCAAAAGCATTATAAAATGGCATGATGGAAGACTGAAAATACTGTTGTAAATTAATTATCACATTGTGCTAGGAGCAATCTCAAACAAGAATATTACAAAAACTTAACTTGGGCCCGGTGCAATAACCTAGCAGTTAAAGTCCTCGCCTTGCAAGTGCTAGGATCCCATATGAGTGCAGGTTCTACTCCCAGCAGCCCCACTTCCCATCCAGCTGTGTGCCTGGGGCCTAGGAAAGCAGTCAAGGGCAGCCCAAAGCCTTGGGACCTTATACCCGTGTGGGAGACCCAGAAGAGGCTCCTGGCTCCTAGCTTCAGCTTGGCTCAGCTCTAGGCATTGCGGCTACTTGGGGAGTGAATTGTCAGACAGAAGATCTTCCTGTCTCTCCTCCTCTCTGCATATATAATTGTCCAGAAAAAAATAAGTTGTAAAAAGATAATATTAGAAGTTAACACAAAATGGAGATAGAAGATGTACATCTTAATGTACCTTTTAAAAGCCATCTATGGGGTTCCCAGAATGATGAACCAACAAAGCATTTCTTCACTATATCCTTAAGTGAAGAAGCATGATTTTATTAAAACGGAGCAGAAATAATTTTAGTAAGCACAGTGTGTAGTATTTAGTCATGAATATTGAGAGTAATGCCGATGTTTTCATCAGAAAGCAAAAGAATGTTATTTAAAATGTCACGTGAACGTATCTACACTTGCAAGTACAATCCTACACACAAACACAAAGATGTGCTTACATACGTGTTGCTATGGTGATGTTCTGTGTATTGATGATTTTCGGATGACAACTATTGTGCAAAGAAAATGTCTGACCTGAGATTAGGCTGCTAGTAGTACAAATGGTATCTGTTTTCTAGAAAGGATAGAGATGACCAATTAATGATTATGAACAGCCGTTCCATGTTTTTGACAGTATAACAAGATTGCAGGTGCATTTTTGCATTGATGAAATTTCATGTTGTGATGCTTGCCTTCATTACCTTGATTGATGCGTATGCATCCTAACCCTAGGCAGGCCTTGGTAAAGTGAGAAATGGTTACAGAAAGGTTATTGCTCAAGCCATAGAAAAAGAAAGGCAGTGTTCGCTGTGCAGCTGATTAAATGCAGAGGAAAAGCTGGAGTTTCTGATAACTGCGGAAGCACTTCACTTTGAAACCACTCTACATTGGTGAACACTTCCTCTGCCACAGCACAAAGGGAGGGCAACAATAGCATGTGTTGAATTTGACAAGCCTGTGACCAGATACTTGTAGACCTTGCGTTGACCTCAATTATTGAAAACTACAAGACAGGCAGTGGAAACTTAAATTAGAAAGTTAAGTTGAACTAACAACAGAACAGTTAACAGTTCCAGAATACCTGTTATAGGTCACAGTGCTATTTAATTGTCTCAGCTTGAGGGGAGGGCAGATTTATGGGGTCAGTTCCAGGAGTCCTGATGCTTCAAGGAGACGCAAGGGATGCTCAGCTCTGTGCTGTAAAGTTAATGCACTTTCCATCTGGTATGCCTCTTTAGCAGGCATTCCCAATATGTGTTTCCACTTCCTTTGGAACACCTCACCCAATAGCACACAAACACTCCCAACCGGTATTTCATATTGGAGCCAATAAACGAGTCACCGGAGCCTTTCTCTAGCAAATCCAACGTGGGGCAAACCCTCGCACTCATAGGAAACAGAGACCACCTACATTATTTATTTTCAATTTGTTCTTTTCTCTTCTTTGCAGATGTCCAGAGATGTGATAAAGCACTGCTCGACTCCGTCTCCGAGCTGAATCAAAATGGGTCCCTGCTCTCGATCTTCCTTTGGCTTTGTCTGTGGGAAGAGAACACTCATTAGACGCCGAACGAATGCATCTTTTCCTTACAAGAAGGCTTAGTCTGGACAGTTGCCCTTCCAAAGTACACAGGGCAAATCTATTTTTGAACACTCACAGTTCTCTGCTGACTGCTAATGGCATTGAATTTGATTTTATGTTTTGCTCATATTAATTCTTGACAATTTTAATTTTTGCTTATTTAAAAGAGAAATGAGAGAGAGTCTTCCAATTGCTAATTCACTTCTCACATGCTGGCAACATCTGGACTGGACCAGCCACAAAGCCAGGAGTTTGGCACTCTAGGTCTCCGGTGTGGATGGCAGGAACCGCAACATTTGAGTGATTACCTGCAGTATCCCAAAACGTGCATGAGAAAGAACCTGTGATCGAAGTGCATCCAAGGCTAGAAAATAGGCGCGCCAACATGGGACACAGAATTTGGCATAGTAGTTGACACTGCCACAAACACCTACGCCAATTGAGTTATTTTTCCTTAAAGATAGACAGTAAGGCAGCATAAGAATAGAACTTTCAAATTCTTCAGGAAAACATGAAGGGATATTATTTTCCTTTCTGCTAGTCCAAATATGTATTCCTGATTTTACTCTCAACATTTTTGAAAAGCTTGTTTCCAGGAATGCAACTGGTTTTGAAAATCAAAATGTGGAACCTACATATATAAAATTTTTGGTATAAAAAAATTTATATGAAAAAAGAGAAAATGGTCCATTGCAGTAGTGGGTTTCACATGTTACCTGACTAGACTGAGATTCCAGGATATTAAACACTAATCTAGGTTTTACTTTAAAGTTATTTTGTAGATGTGGTGTCGATAATCAGCTGAATATAATTTAAGATATTTATCACTGATATTTGGATGGACTCCAACCAATTGACAACCTTAAAAAAAAAACTCAGTCTTAAGGTACAACAGATTCACTCAAGATGGCAGCAACCATTACCAACACCATATTATTCATCCTACCAGTCTGCCCGACAGATTGACAGTTACTTCTCATGACACTGCATGTGCCCACTTCTGAAAATCTGCATTCCTATACACACATTCTGAGTATTTCTATCAACTCATGTATATATACATACAATGTGTGATCAAACATCCTAAAGCTGCACATTATGTGAGAATATGGAAATCATTCTTTAATATTAACATTACCAAATATTCACCAATTAAAGGTATATGGTTTTGCATAACAATGTCCTGTAGGACCACAAATTTCTTTTAATACATTTTTTGTTAAGTTGGGATTTTGCCTAGTAAACAGAAAAGGTTCAAAAATTTGTGTACATTCCACCCACGAGGAGGACTATTTCCAACACCTTGACTCATGATCGCAATCTTACTGTTTTTGCAAAATAATGGCTGAAATCCAGCTGCTTTATGCAGTACTCAGACTATGGCACTTTGTACTTCCAACCAAAGCCTTAAGACTGAGCTTTTTAAGGGAAATGAGCGAATCCCAAAAGGTTAGATACCACATGTTTGCCTTAATTTAACTAGAAATTTTATTTGTTTGTTGCTTTGTTTTTGAACCTGTCATTGATACGGTCTCAACCCATGTGTTGTGAAAAATTGAACTTGCATTACTTTTAACATTGTTTACTCAATACTATGTCAATCAATTTCATAACATTGTAAATTGTTGCTGATGTTTTGTAGGGGCTTTTAACCAACCGGGACTGTACTCTGTTAGCTCTATCTTCAAACCAGAGAAGGTCTCCCCTAGAAACCTCTGAACTTATCCGGACAATAAGATGTTGAACTCTATGCTAGGTATATGCTTGCAATGAATGAATCCCAATTGAACTTCAACTGTGAATATGCAGCAAGGTGGAGGAATCCACCATGGGGGTAGGGTTGTGGGAGGGGTAGGGGGAATCCCAGTGCCTATAAAACTGTATCACATAATACAATGTTATTAACAATAAAAATAAAAGACTGAGCTTTTTCAGTGTCATGAATCTTAGACACAGAAGGCAATACCATGATGACATCCAAGGATTTCAGGCATAGTCAGTCATCTAATAATCTAGATCTGCTGGTCTATTCAGGAGAGTTATTTTCCCTATTGACTTGGAGTTTCAATCTTTTCCACAAAAAGACAATCTCTAGTATTTGCTGGAACAAATGCATAGTTAACCAGTTCCTGAAACAGCAGCAATTTGAACAGTCCATTTTGCATAAACATAAAATCTAGTGTCGAAGCTTGCTTTACCCTTGAAAAATGTATGTAAACAATGACAAATTCAATTAAAAAATGGGTGATATATATTTTCCAGAACCAATAATTAAATCAGCATTTTCTCTTACCAAGGAATTAGATGCTCATTACAAACACAAACCAAACAGTTTACAGTCTAAATCTATTGCTGTATTAGATTTATACAGGATTCATCCTGACAGAAGGCTCATCTCCAAATTCTAAATCTTCTAAAAAAGTCAACGTGTTGCTATTGTTGTCTATGTCAGAAAATTTGATCTGTAAAAGAAACTTCAAATAATATTACCCATAAAGGGAAATGATGGAATGCATAAATTCTAACATCAAAATTTTATAACATCTTGTGACACACAGTGCACCTTCTGTGATCTGAGTATTGTGGCATCAATGGGGCATATATGTCCCACCATGAAGTTTTACAGATGCTGCAATTCCAAACTTTTCCCCTTCTGAAAATAACATGATATCACAAGGAATAAACGGAAAATGTTTTTTTGAAACTCAGAACATCAAAAGGTAGCTTAAAGAATCAGATGCATCTTAATATTTGATTACCTTTCCAGTTGTTTCTCTTAAACGAATTATAAATGTATATAAACACAAGGTAATACACTGCATTTTTGTACAGGTATTTCATGATAAAACTTGCCTCAGAAGTCATGCGTAAGTTTGTAATAGATTATAGCAAACCTAAAATTACACAACTACCGATTTAAAAAATGACCCTTTGACTATCTAATGCTCAACTTTAATCCATTATTAGTATTTTCCAGCTCTTTGTAACATCCAAGAATAACAGAAACCTCAGGACAACTGTAATGTTCCTAGTACTAATAAAACAATGTAAATGATAATGCAACTCTCACAGAAGTTTCAAGGATACTAGAAGTCATTTTCTTACTGTAATCTCAGACACATCAAGATTCTGTGGAATCTCCTATAGGCTGACTAGGGAGTAGCCATGCTGCCTTAGCCTAATCTTGGATTTGAAAAGAATGAAGAAAGAACTACAGTTCCAGAAGTCTAAGACAGAAATGTTCAGGAAAATGTGAAAGAAAATAGCTGATGCTCTCTGGCGCAGTAGGACAAAACTCTGAAACATTATGCAGGGCACCCAGTGGCTACTCCTCAAAGAAGAGACATCACAGCATGGTTTATGAAATTCAGTAGGTACAGAGAAAGAAGCGGGGGCACATAACACAGGCAGGGTTGCCAGTGGTGCTGCTTGGGGAAGAATTTTGTGGACCACACTGACACCAGGTCCAGAAAGGGACCAGAGTGAGGGAAAGATCCTGACAGGTTGCTGTAATGGGAGGCACACACTCCTTTTGCCCAATCTTCCACAGAGCACCTAACACAGAGGGAACTGCCATTCTGAAAGTGCCCCAGTCCTGTAGCTGCTGGGGCCCATGGTATATACCTGATCCCATGCAGGTGCATGCCATTACGTGGTTCTGATGCAAGGATGGCACATTGGACTCTATCCCTCCCCCACTACTTGAACACAGAACATAGTACAACCCCACACCTACCACACACTTCCATATATATGTATGAAAAGATAAAAACCAATGCCCAATTATTCCACTTTCTTCAGGTAACGCACTGGATGTGAGAATAAAATCATTACTGCCCAATTCCAAGGCCTTTGCTGTTTCTTTTTTTCTTTTTCCAGTTTCTTCTAGGTATGCATATTTTCTGGTGAGAACCAAAAGTTCCCAAATTTTACGAAGTATTGTTACTTAATTTTGAAAAATAGTTAAATTTAGTGCCAAGCTGGTCTATATTTTAAAGTAATAGAGTATATAAAACATTCCTTAGGCTGAAAAGCAAATTTGTAAGAATTCTAATTTGGAAATCAATTAAAAATAGACAAAAATGTTTTTTAAGTTTCCCTTAATTTACAGCAGTATCAATTTTGCTACATGATGATAGGTGCTGAAATAATACATTTTTCTCTCTGGTATTGGTCAATGTCTTACATTAAAACTTCCTACAGCTCTTTCATTTCAAATACTTTTCAGGTTTATAGAATTCAAAGCAGCAATATCTTGGCCATGTCTTGAGACAGTGAGGGAACAGTACAGGAAATCTATGAAGAAATCAAGCCATCAGGAAGTACCTGTAGATTAAAGTGTAGAAACAGACAAGGAAGATGGAAGAACAGAGGATGCCCAAAACACGGGGCAACTCCTGAGCATCTTGTGCTGTTTACTCAGTAGAAAAAACAAAGGAAATCACATTTTAACCATAAAGAAAAGTAGAAAATTTGACTTATCCAGAAAAGTGGTGTAAAGGGATATTTGAAGTTGATTCAGGTAGTTCACGGTTTCTCAACTTACGGTCTAATTAACTTTCCTCCATGAGCTATAATTTGGCCATTGACTCGTGGGGTGTAATTGCTGACTGGAGAATAGTTAATAATAAAATCTTCTCATAGTCGTCTTATGATATTGGCAACATATTATGTAAGATCTGGAAGGAGAGAGAGGGGGAGAAAGGGAAAGAGGCAGAGGCAGCCCTTTATGGAAGATAGCTGTATTTCTAAATGAATGAGTTTCCTTAGAAAGTGTTCTCCGCGTGTAACACAAATTAATTCACTTAAACTCAAAAAGTTAACTACTCTACCAACTGACTAAAAGTATTCCACTTAAAAACTTATTAACGTGACCCTACTTCTGCATGTTCTTGCTATATTTAATGAAGAGGGTGAGTATCTCAATCAAGGGTTACTTTTCTTTCCAGTAGACATT